CGGCCGCCGGCCCTGCGCGCCCCGGCCCGTCTGCGGCGCCGCGGCCAGCTGGCGCCAGCGCTCATATAGGATGCGCGGGGATGGGACCGAGCCGGCCAGAGCCGCGGCTTTGCCATCTGAGTAACACCCTCCATCCAGCCTGCTCTCCTCCTCCCGCGCTCCCGCTGCCTTTCCCCCCCTCTCCCTCCTCGCCTTTTTTTTTTTTTCTTGTTGGTTTTGGTTGTTGGTTGGTTTGGTTTTTTTTTTCTTTTCCCCCTCCTTTCTCCCCCTCTTTGCGGCACTCGCATCCTCCAAGCAGGCATCCATCACCACCCACCCCGCGGAGGCACCCTGCCTCCCGCGCCGGGTAAGTGTGGGGCGCGGGGGGGGGCCGCCGCGCCGCTGCCAGGGCGCACTCGCTGCTTTCGCTAGACACCCTTCTCCCTCCTCTTTTCCTTCTCTTCCCCCCCCCTTTCTCCCCCTCCTTTTCCTTTTGTGTCAGTCGGAGTTCTTGCTAAAACTACGCTATATTAGATCTGCCGTTCTTCCTTTTTTACTCCAGTTTTGAAGCCAGCTGGAAAAACTCCTGTTGACGTTTGTAGCGAGAGCCGGGGGGGGGGGGGAAGGAAGCTTTTTGTCTTTTTTTTTTTGTAAAGAGTTTGAAATGGGATCTCTGTTTATTTTGTGGGGCAATGAGCAGGGAGGGCGCAAGGCGAGGACTTTGGGGGAGAGGATCTTTTTGGAGGGGGGGAGGGGCTCTGCTTCCCCCTCCCCATCCATCTACCGCTGGGAAAACAAGCCGGTCGGGAGCCGGCCCGGCGGGCAGCGCACCCCGGGGCTGCCGAGCCGCTAACCTGCCCGTCTCTCCCTACAGGTGCTGCCCCGGCCCTTCCCCGGACCTGCCTCTGCCACCCGCCTGTTGATAGAGGGACACGCTGACTTCGGGGGTCCTCCCCCACCCTTCCGAGGGCGCACTCCAATCACCCGGCGGTTTTCTTTCTAAGAAAAGCCACCCCATCTCCTAAAACCCACCGGCAGCGCCAAAAGCCACCCCCCGAGCAGCAGCAGCGGGCCCCCCCCCCCCCCACCGAGCGCCGCTTGCTCCTGGCCCGGGGGTGGGTGGGAGGGGAGGCCCGAGGCCATGGAGGTGGCCACGGACCAGCCTCGCTGGATGGCCCACCACGCCGTGCTCAACGGGCAGCACCCCGAGAGCCACCATCCCGGACTGGCTCACAACTACATGGAACCAGCGCAGCTCCTACCTCCGGATGAAGTCGACGTCTTCTTCAACCACCTGGACTCCCAGGGCAACCCCTACTACGCCAATTCCGCCCATGCCCGGGCCAGGGTCTCCTACAGCCAGGCACACGGTAAATGGGCACCCGCTGCTCTCCTTTGCACCCCCCGGCCCCTTCCCCGCCCGCCTCCGCCTGCGCTCCCCGGGCCCCTCCGTGCGGGCCGGCGGGTGTCCTACGTGGAGGCGAGGAGCTTCACTCGGGGGCCGCCTCGGTGTGTAGGAGCCGGGGGGAAAGGAGATCTAAGAAAACAGGATAGAAAGGGAAGCAGGGGTGGATTTTAACCCTAGAGATAACCAAGGACCGGCGGAGGGGAGGGAAAGAAAAGGGGGGGAGGTGAGAGAGGAAGGGGAAATAGTGTGCGCACAGGCTAAAACTTCGCAGACACGGCTACTTCCCGGATGCGAAATACAAACCGATTCAAATCGGCGATGGATTTTATTTGGGGGTGTTTTTAGGAGCCGGAGAGAGCGCGCTGCAGCAGCTCGGGACACAGAGCAGAAAGGGGTTTGCTGCCTCCTCGCAGGGGTGGGGCGGGAGGAAAGGGGGTGCCTCTACTCCTGCCCCGGCTGCCTGGGGTCCCCCTCCTGCTGCCCATCGCTCTTTCTCGCTGGGCTGGCTGGTTTACTTCCCTCGGAGGGGACAGGGCGAAGGGGCCGGCGCGCCAGTCTGGCTGCTCTTCTCCGGGTTGTGAAACCTCTCCCCATGCCCGGCTCCCCTCCGGCTGCCTGCGGGCTGGGGAGCTGCCGGCCCCGGGAGCTGGGGGACCTCCCAGAGCCGCTCCGGGCTGAGCCGCTCCGGGCTGAGCTGCCCCGTGCTGATCCCAACCGCTCTTGTGTTCCTACAGCCCGCCTGACCGGGAGTCAAATGTGCCGGCCTCATCTTATCCACAGCCCCGGGATCCCTTGGCTGGACAGCAGCAAGGCGGCACTGTCTGCCCATCACCACAACCCCTGGACCGTCAACCCCTTCACCAAGACACCCCTGCACCCCTCGGCGGCCGGAGCGCCCGGGGCCATCTCGGTGTACCCAGGCAGCAGCACGTCCAGCACCGCCTCGGTGTCTTCGCTCACCCCGGCCTCGCACTCCGGCTCCCACCTCTTCGGCTTCCCCCCAACCCCTCCCAAGGAAGTGTCCCCGGACCCCAACTCCACCAGCGCCGCCTCCCCTTCGTCCTCCGCCGGGGCCCGGCAGGAGGACAAAGACAGCATCAAGTACCAAGTGTCGCTGTCGGAGGGGATGAAGATGGAGAGCGCCAGCCCGCTCAGGAGCAGCCTCACCAGCATGGGGGCCCAGCCCTCCACCCACCACCCCATCCCCACCTACCCTTCCTACGTGCCGGCCGCCCACGACTACAGCAGCAGCCTCTTCCACCCTGGCAGCTTCCTGGGGGGCCCCGCGTCCAGCTTCACCCCCAAGCCGCGAAGCAAGGCCAGATCCTGTTCGGGTAAGTGTTGCAGCCCATGGCCTGCCCCGTCACGCACCAGCTGTACCCCCTGCGGTGGAAGGGCCGAGGTGACAGCCGTGCTGCCCGGGGGGGTGGTGGGGGGAGCGTGTGTGTGTCGTGGGGGGGTGGCTTCGCTGGCTGTTGGGTGAGGTTGCAGGCTGCTGCGAGGCTGGGTGCTTGTGTCGGCTCTCTTGGGGACAGAGGGGCAGGTGGCTGCCTGGTCCCGCTTTTCTGGGTTTTTAATCTAGGAGATGGAGCTTGTACCAGGCTTCTGTGGGTGGCAATGCATCCGTAGCGGCCGCTGAGCCACCGGCCCTGGGGCGCTCAGATGGCGCCGAGGGACATGGGGACCGGTGCAGTGTGAGCTGGCAGATCGAGTTGTACAAAGAGGGATTTGTAGGAGAAAAAACCGTTTCCCTCGGAGAAAAGCTGGCCTCAGCCACCCAAGGGGCTCAGGCCCGACCCTGCTCCCCCAAGCCAGCCAAACCCCCACGGATTACACGTGGGGACTTCCTAGTGATAGGTATTTCTCCCTCAATAATTTCTACGTCTCTTCATTAATACGAACCAAGGCCCCAGTGCAGGATGAAAGCGAAACTTACCCGGCCAGTCTGCTTCAAGTCGCAGAGGGCCTTATTTCCTTCGCGTTTTACAGGAGCAAAAGTTCAAATATAGTTTACATACCAGTGCGAAAGACTAAGGTGTCCAGTCATCGCTAACTTACTCCAGCCTAACTTTTAACTAGAAAATACTCCCTCCCCCCCCCACTCCGAACCAGACATATCTCTGCTTCCAAACGACAGACTGCAGACCTTTCCCGTGTTCACAACCCCTCCTTGCATTTCTTCCCGAAAGAGCAGTCCTAAATCAGCAAATTAGGTGATGGGTGAAGTTTTGATCCCACTTTGAAATGACATTAGTTGTACAACTAGACAGACAAATTAAGACAATTTGTGTAATTCTAACTAACCTTCCTGGCTTAACATCCTCAGCAATGGAAGGAGATGAATTACAGTATATTGGGACTGAATTTAGATAGCCCTTTAAAAATAAATGGCTATATATGCATGCGGTGTGTATTCTTATATATCATTGCACATATATGCTTATGAATACACTACATGTATTTATTTTTAAAGCAGACAATAATTTAGAAATGTGATCTCTTAAGAGTTTTGCAACAAAAATATCAGCTACTTTTCAAGCTCATCGGCTCTTTTTCAAATGGCTCCTCTGAAGGGAAAAAAACACTCCCTCTCCCGTTATTTAAATTTAGTTGCTACTATGTATATGTATTTTTTAGTAGTGCAAAGAGTAGAAAGTAAAGGCAATTAGCAGCTCGAGCCCCCCGAGTTTGGGGAAACAGATTCAAGACCCAGGTATCTGAAGATAAAGGGATCTTGAGCAGCTTTTTATTTTTGTCCTGTAGTTGCCGATGATTTTATTAGATGGGGGAAGTAAGGAGCTTTTTTGTTTTGTTTTACGGTTGGGTGTTGGGTTTTTTTTTTTCTGTAAGGGAGCCCCCTGTGCAAGGAACTGGGGAAAGTTCGTGACCACTCAGTGTTTTTGTAGGAAAACTAAGACTCACGACACGACGACTCCTGCAGCTTCCTGCCCTAGGAGGGACAAAAGCTACAAATGCAGCGCCGCAGAGCTCCCCTCATTTTTCACTCTAGACTGTGTTGTTTAAAAGCCACCCACTCCCTAGATTAAAGGAGACACAAGCCCCGCTGAACTCAACATGGCCTGCTTCAGTTATTAGCAAAAAGAATTTCCTCTCCAGTTAAATACTGTAGGATTTGCATAAACTATATTAAGAGAGATTTCTATATTAAGCAGACCTGCCCTCGAACCATCAGAGGCAAATGAACTTTTAGCAGAGAGCTTTCTGAGGCAGAAACAGATATCTAGGAGTTACATGCTGGGTTTTAACAGAGACATTCTACAATGCCGTGTTTCCCACGTTGTGCTACTAAACTAATAATGAAGCAGTAATAAGGTAAACTGCTCCCTACTAAATCCAAACTGTATTACTGAAAAATCACAGAAACAGAAAAGAACTCAAAGCCTGTTTTTAACAGTAATTTCCAGAGTGCTTGCTGAAACTGAACTTTCTCTAAGATCAGCATTAGCAGCGTTTTTTCTGCCTTTAGAACAAAAATCATAACTGAGCCTTTGGCATTCTGTATCTATTCCCAGACTGCTCAGCTTTACTTTCTCATCCCGTGGCATTTGCAACAAAAAGGAAAGCAGAGAACGGGAGGTCTTTTTGCTTAGATTTAATTCTAGAAAACCTCTTCCTTTGACTCTCTCTTTTACATGTTGTGTGTTTGCAGGTGTGTGTGTTTCTGTACGCGTGTATGTGTGTATTTGTGTCAGGAGAACACAGGATCTAACCATCCGAGTGCAATAGATACGAGAGGGGAGCGGTGCCCAGCGCAGATTAAGGGAGTTCTCGTTACTGAAACGATAACTTCCATCTGACACAATAAGAGTGTCACTCTTTCTCACCTTGCAGAGAGAGCTGCCTATTTCTGATCATGACATAAAATACTCGCTGGAGTCTGGGCGTTCTCGAAACACAGCTCCTTGCTGCATGTGCTGTAGATGTCACTGCTGTCTGATTGTGCTTGAATTAACACACTGTTTTGACTTCTGGAAAATGCCTAAAGGACAATGCAAAAAGCTTTTGTGAATTTGTTTTTAAAGAAAGAAATCCGGTTTCTTCGTGTTTCCATTTAGAAGGCAGAGAGTGTGTGAACTGTGGAGCAACTGCTACCCCTCTCTGGAGAAGAGACGGCACCGGGCATTACCTGTGTAACGCCTGCGGGCTCTACCACAAAATGAATGGTCAAAACCGACCTCTCATTAAACCTAAGCGAAGGCTGGTAGGTGTCTGTTTCTCCTGGGTTTGGGGATAAATTAGGTGCAGGGACCACACGCAGGCACCAGTCAAACGTGTCTCATCTCTGCTCAGCCCCTGCCCAGAGCCGAGCTGTACTGTACATGGGGGTCAGTCACGTCGAGGTCACTGCCGTGCCTCGGGGCAGATCTCCCCCCCTCCACCCCCAACCCCGGCATCCCGGCACAGACCACTGCGCCGCCGCGGCCGCCTCACGCGCCTCTGTCCCGAGCCCCCCTGCCGCTCACAATAGATGCGGGATATCGTGTATCCGTCTCCCCGTTCATCCTCGGTTGACAGCTTTTAATTTAATTCCTCCTTTATTTGGCCTCTTGGGACGTGTTGGGCGCATACTGGGATCGAAAGGGTTATGAGCGTGAATGTCCTCCACCGTGTACTAAAAAAAAGTTTCAGCTCCAAAAAGCAAAACAAATCAGATGAGTCAAAGCTACTGCTCCCTACTCAATAATTATTTGTATAAAAGCCATGAAGTAATTTTCACTCTTATATTCTCTGGCAATATTAATATTGGTTCCCTCCCCAGACAATCCCCTACTGTTTAAAAAAAAAAAAAATCCTATTATTTTTCCATGGAGTCACCTATACTTTGTATTTTCATTTGAGTGATTTAAAAAAAATGTCCTTTCTAAGCTCCTGGTAGTAGTTTCCTATCCGGATATCTGTACGTTAAAGATAAGGAAACTTTGTGTATCTGTTTCCTGACTCTAAAAGCTTTAGAGAGTTTCTATAGGCAAGCCTTGCCAGTCATGCTTGCTGTTTTGAAATTTCTAATACACTCTACTCCACAAATAATGCGTAAAATGCTAAGAATAATAAATATATTTTTTGAAGCTTTGTGATTTATGGTGCCTAAGTCTCTTAGCTATTCGTGGGCACGTTTCAATGAGGTTTGGAGAGCAGAAAATTGGCATTACTGCTCTAACACTGGGATGGGATACAGAAGATTTCTGTCGTGAGTCAGAATTTCAACTATGCAAGCTTCTTAATGACTTGCCTTCTAAAGTGACTGACATATAGAAAAATGTTAAGACAACAGTGTAACATTATCGTCTCTCAGGCTCAAGTGCTTTCCAGTCTGAATGGGACAGGCCATGGAGTTAAGCAGCATAGTTGAGTATCAGTAAGCCATCTCAGATATGCAAACATAGATCTCCACCTTCCAGTGTGTTGGGAGACTGTTATACTTAGCTCACTGCGAGGGGTTTTGGGGGGCACTAGAGAGGTTTTCTTTTAGTGTAGTTGTTTTAATGTTTTGTTTTGTTTTAATTGATTTACAGCTTTGTTTATTGCCCCTTTTTCCACTGTAGTTTGCTTGTTTGCGGGGGAGAGGAGATGGCCATCTTTGGGAATTTGTTCATCTGACATGCAATAGCAAAGTGATCATATTAATAATGTCAGTGTTTGGACGTCTGGCATTAATTGTGTTTGGGTTGCATGAGTGTACTTGCAGTAGGGGGTACCCCCTTTTTCTGCCTTTGGCCTGTTCTCACAGGCGAGTAAGGGACTTAAATATATGAGTCTCCAAGGGCCTGATTCTTGCCTTAAGCTGCTGAGCCGTCCATCATCTTTGGGAAAGTTACAGAGGACCATGGTGTAAATCAGGAGCAAGTGAGAACAGAACCCGGTGCTCCTCTTGCGAGGCGGGTTGGTCTGTGCTTCGAGCGGCGCCAGCTCCCCAGCAGAGCCGGCAGGCAGGGAAGCGCACAAAGTTCTTGTCTGGGAAACCCACCGCTCCGGGACTCTGCTCTCTGCTCACGGAGATGCCCCGCACATTAACGTGAGCTTCGCTGCTGCTTCACCCTATGGCTCTCGGTGGCTAATAGCAAAAATATCCAGGGACCAAGGCCCCGGGGAAATTACCACGACTGATATGCATTAGAAAGTAAACTCTGCTAATTTAAGAAAAGAAAATACTGAGTCCTCAGCATTAATCCAATTGCACAAAATGGACAGTATTTTGACCACTTCCAGAGGCAGGGCTGAAGCTTTCTAAGGCAAAATTATTTCCCCAAATATGGGGTGCAATTAGTCCGTCCATAACACTTTATACGATACCATGCTTGCACAAAGAATGTATTATTGTGGGGTCTGCTAGACAAGGGTCCATCCAGAAATTACTGGCTGCCTGCTGTTCTACTTTTCCTGTTCTTGTTTTGGGAGGTGGGTGAATGTTTGGGCATTTTTCTTTCCCCCCACCTTGGTTTCAGCAGAACAATAGTTTTAGGAAAGGGTGGTGGATTTTTTGTTGGGTTGTTGTTTTTTTTTGGTTTTTTTTGGTTTTGTTTTTTTTTTAAGACAGTTGTTTGAGGGCTTGTCAGCCAAGGAACTGAGTAGGGACAGAGGCAGCAGACACAGACGGGTCAGCGGAATCATTGCTGCAAGGCATGAAATTTGGTTTGCTAAATATTTAAAGAAAGTTGGAGCCGGTTTTGTTTTCTCCCTTTCACTTGTAAATGGAAACTGATTTTTCAGTGATGGCTCTGATAAATACTGCACCCAGTTAAGTAATGCAGTTGGTTTTCTTTTGTGTCCATCTTTAAAGGGCCAGAGTAGGGGTAAAAATCACATTCTTGAAGATCATTCCCTCTTTTCAAACCCAGTCCCAACATTGGCACAAACTAAATCAGTCACTTAAAAAAAAAGAAGGCAAATGCATTTTCATGATGCATTCTAGAATCCTGCAAAGGAAAAACCTGAACAAATCGGATGATGTTTCCCCCTCTAAAATTTTTGTTTGTGGAGTTAGAGATGCATTGTTTCTCTCCTTACTTCCCCTGCACACGCAGTGCCATGGGGCTTGAAGCTGCAGTCCGCATAGGAGAATACTTGAATTCAAACAAAAACCTAACGGCCGCAAAATGTAAAACTGACAGGAGCTTCCCTTCAGCCCTGATGCTCTGTGAAAATTGTAGTAATTCATTCTACCCAACCTAAATACTGAGTCCAACTTGACCTTTCTCATGATCTCCCTCCTCCTGCCGATACATTTTTAATTTTCTTTTTCTTTTGGTTAGTCAGCGGCTAGGAGAGCAGGGACTTGTTGTGCCAACTGTCAGACAACCACCACGACCTTATGGCGACGTAATGCAAACGGGGACCCAGTTTGTAATGCCTGCGGACTCTACTACAAATTGCACAACGTGAGTATTTACTCATCTCATGTGTCGCTGCTTGCCTAGCTGGGATTGATGTCTTAACTGCATGGTGTACACTAGGCTTTTATTGGTTTCAGGGTTTTGGTTGTTGTTTTATTCCTTCCCCCGTCTCTAAGGTTCCCCTGGGAAGTGACAGCCGTTCTTTGTCAGCATAGTGATGCTAAGTTCAGTGACATTACAATGTATTAGCTTGGCTTCTAACGCTTGGGCAAATCAGGCAAAATAGAGCTACCACAGTTGGTTTTATCTAAGTGTGTTTTGCGTGCTGTTTCCCTCCAGAAACACAGAGGCCATTTGGAACGGTCTCTGTGCAAGAATTAATCCTGATCAGGCATCTTCATTTTGATTTTTTTTTTAAAATAATTATATCTAAGGCTTTGTTTTATTATATTAATTTTTTTTAAGAAATTAATCCTAAGCAGGAATCACTTGACACATTGGAACGTTATTTAAACTGTAAGTAACAGAGGTTACTGGTACAAGATTGCTCATGTCTTAGGACTGAATTTGGGTCAATGTGTGCCTCCTAGTTTGATCTCTTCTATTAGGAAATGAATGAGGACTGAGGGTAAGCCTACGGGAAAGAGAGTCATCAGCTGCCAAATTCAGTTCAATTTGTTTTTCATGTCTATGGTTTTTTTGTGTGTGTGGTTTTATTAAACAAATCAATATAAACAAATTCTGCAGAGAGAAACACCATTTTTTTTGGCTAGAAAAAGGTCTCCATCCAGGAAAAACACATGGGGGCTGTCCAAATATTTTCATTTTTGCACAATAAGGTCATTTTGTCTGCATGAGCCTGATTTTCTCATTTCTTGCAGGTGAACAGGCCTCTGACCATGAAAAAGGAAGGAATTCAGACCAGGAATAGGAAAATGTCCAACAAATCAAAGAAAAGCAAGAAAGGCTCTGAGTGTTTTGAGGAACTGTCCAAGTGCATGCAGGAGAAATCGTCTCCCTTCAGCGCTGCTGCCCTTGCTAGCCACATGGCACCCATGGGGCATTTGCCACCTTTCAGCCACTCTGGACACATCCTACCAACACCTACCCCCATCCACCCATCTTCCAGCATCTCATTTGGACATCCACACCCATCCAGCATGGTTACAGCCATGGGATAAAACCTGATGACCAAGAGACCCACCCAGAGATTAAGAACATGGGGCTTTGCCTAAGATGACACAAAGTAAGAAAACGTTCTGCCAAGAGGAGAATGTAGGGATGGCAAAAGGGGATCTTTGCTCCCATGTGGTTTAACTCTTAATGCTGGACTAAAACCTTGCAAATGATGGGTCTTCTGCAGAAACGTGTAGTGGTGCCTGTAATGCACTTTGCCCCCTCAGGTATAAGGAAAAAGAACTCACCTGTTCGATACTTAATGGTCCAGCAGGAAGCAAAAGGTGGCAGAAGCTGAAGGAAAAGGCTTGGAACTGGCTTTCCTTTCTCTCTTTGTTATTACTGTGAATATTGTAAAGAGATATAAGCAGCCTCCCGGGATGGAATCGGCTCACTGGAAGCCAGACATGCTGGATTTCTATCGCAGACTTTGTTTGGGATGGGGAAAAAGGAGAAGAAGAAAAAAAAAAAGGACACATTTATAAAAATGTAATTTTTAAAATGAAAACAGACACAAAGTCATATTTATTTTGCTCTTGTTTTCCACAAAAAGCCTCAACCCCTCTGACTGCATGTTTTTGTGCTGTTGTTTGCAATGGCTACCCTGTAAGAAAACCTGCCTTCAAAACAAGGGGGAGAGGGGGGAACATATTCAGCAACCCCCTTGGATTAGCTCCATCTATCTTTCATACCAAAATATCTACTGGGAAGGGGGAAAAGATTAGGGGGGGAACAAAGCAAAAATTTAGCCGCAATATGGGGTTTTAATGTGCCCAAGATGGTGATTATTTTGACACAATTTCTTCATTCTTTTCCCTAACATGAAAGATTTATTTAAAAAACAGCCCCCCTCCCAACTACCCTATTATTCCTCAAAACGGACAGTTAGATCAGACAAACTGTTGGGAAAAAACTCTCGGGAAGGCAATCCTGCACTAGCAAGGGGCGAGATACAGGCATTTACCAAACTGTGTCGCAGCTAACTTCTAGCACAGCAAACACCATCACAGGGCATAAAAACATCCAACTCACAGACTTTAGAGGTTGAAGCATTTTGTTCTGTTGTGTTGGCAGCTGTCGCTTAAAAATGCAGATTAGCTGCTTGGGTAAACTTACGGCAGTGTGGCCACCATGTCCACACGCAGCCAGCCAGCGTGTGTGCTGTCTCAGGCATCCAGGCCCCGGTGGACTTCACAGGGAGGAAGGGCAGAAATGAGGTTGAGATCACTGGAGAGGGGAAAGAGAGAGACAATCAGTTTGAGCTTCACACATCCGTCAAATCCCAGACACAGCGACAGCTGATGAGACGAGGGAAAGCATCGTTCTAAGGGGAACGTCCGTTTTCCGTAGCGTATTTTATATGAAAAAAAAAACAAAAAAAAAGAAAAAATTTAAATCTCCCATTATTAAACCATATTGTACGTAAAGACCGAAAACAAAGCTATTGCCAATGTGAAGTGTATTCTATTGATTGTTATGATCTGATGCCTCTCGTGAACACAAGCTCCAGTATAACATACAATGTACATATTTAGCTATACTTCTGATGAAAATGCCCCAATGAACAGAGGGGTTTGATAATGTAAACCACGTAAGCTTAACTCTGTGACAAGCTTTTTTTTTTTTTTTTTTAAATTTTTAACTTTTTTGTTGTTGGGGTTTTTCTTTTTTTTTTTTTGTTTTGGATCAAGCCAATTGTATCTTTACTGCAAAAGTCCTGCTTTAAAGAAGAAAACACGAAACAAATAAAAATGGATGTATGTTAATTTTTTTCCTAAACATGTAATTCAAATATTTGATAATGATTTAAGAACCAAGCAGCCATGAAAATCCTGCTTTCCTCCTTTTTCTGGTCTGCGTAGGCATATAGGTGCACTTTGTAAAGAAGTGGAAATAAACGGGAAACTAAATTGGTTGGGAGAAATCACAAGAATTTTTAATCTACTGAGGTAAAAAATTGGGTCCTTTTCACTTTTTACCTTTTACAATGGTACAGTTCTACATTATTTGTACCCAACTCAAATTTCTGTAGGATTTGGGCAGGGGGGCGGGAAAGGGATGTGGGTGGAAGACAGGGATTACTGATACAGTTGACAAAGTGCAATATATTGTCAGTCACTGCAGCATAGACAACGGCAGTCAAGATTTAAATTATTTTGTACTTGTATCAGCATAAAAAAATCCTTCAGTATTTTCTGTTTTTATTTTAATTTTTATTTTGCTTATTTTTGGATTAGTGAACTAAGTTATTGTTAATTATGTACAACATGTTTATATATTGTCTGTAAAAAGTGTATGCTTTCCTCATATTCCTTCAAGGTGAATATTGCTAAGAATAATAAAATACCTTTTTTGTGAAAGTACCTGTACCCAGCTTCATGTCATAAAGGCTGCTTTTAATAGGGAGAGAGGAAAAATTATCGTCGCCATTGTTGCCAGTAGAATTATTAGCTTAAACTTTATGCAGAGCCGTCTATTGATATTTCAAAAACCTACCAGGGCAGGACAAAAAAAGTGGTTGGTGAATGATTTAGTATAAAAAGCACAAGTACAAAAGCTCATTCTCCGGTGTTGTTTTGGGGTGACGAGGTCACGCAGTTAAGTGCGCTAAAGTTTCTAAACCAGTTTAAAATCTAAGGCAACAGCCACATTGCAGATGATGAACTGCGGTTTCTCTGTTGTTTTTTTGTTGTTGTTGTTTTTTGGGTTGTTTTTCCAAAAGTGTTTGGGGAAATATACTTTTCAATTAAAAACAAGTTTAAAAAGCACTGTGAACAGAAAAGCAGCCAGGTGCCTAATGGGTTTCAAGGCAGGCCCTGTAGTAGACTGGGCAAAGCTCTCCATAGGTTCTTGCACTGCTGTAACAGGCAACACCATCAACCTGGAAACCTGTTTCTTACCATTTGGCATCATCAGTGGCATGAAGGGAGCAAGGAGGGATGGCCAGCCCATAGCTGCTCAGTGCTGTCCTGGGAACTGCTGACAAGGGGTGCAGCTGTGGGTGCAGGGGGGTGCACACGCGGGCTGGCACGTGAGGCTGGAGAAGAGCACTTACCAGGCAGCTCACCCATGGCCAAAACTTCGCGGCTGTGTTCATCACACGGTCGAGTCTGACCCACACAAGGAACTCCTCGGGGCCTTACAAAGTGAAGCGAAGTCTTGCAAAGTCCCCCTGCCATGTGTGGGAATGAGTACTGCTGCTACTAAAACTATTTTCAAGAAAACTGCTAATGAACTTTGGGTTTCCTCCTTTGACCCCTCGGGAGTTGCATCTCACTTCTGTGGAAACCAACTTGGGGATAACTCCTTACTCATTAAGAAAAAAAATAACCTGAGTTCCCTTTTCAGCGCCTGTGTGCAAATTCCAGCCCTTTCTATCACTGCTTCTCTTTAACCGTGCAGCCTCCGGCCCAGCCCTGTTTGCAAGCCCCGCTCACGAATGAGACAGGAGTCGCAGCAGCTCTAAATGTGCTGAAGAAAGCACATGCAACCGGGATGAGGCCTTCCTGCATCATTTCAGACAAGTTAATCATCTCTCTAACTTGTTTAGCGAGGCTTAGTGCAAACACCCATTAAAAAAAAAAAAAAAAGGCAGTTTATAGCATACCGTGCAAGCTTCATTTAAAAAGAAACATGTTTGATTTCAGACAGGTTTAAAACGGGGTTATAACTAAACTCAGCCACTCTCCCTCCATGTTTGAATAGCTGAGACGAGGAGGAAACAGGAAAACTAACAACATCTCTTTAAAATAATTTAGAATAATGAAGATATTTGCTTTGATTGCACATTACACACCTGTTCAGGCTGTGATGATGGCTTACCTTAGTGTTGCCTCTCTGGAGGCATTTTGCTGGGTCGGTCTGATCCGCTTGCAGAATTGGGGCCATAATCCATCAGCTTGTCAGGAGGGGAGCTGAAGCCCCCCAGCACCTGGAGAGGCATGCCTCTTCTGAGCGGGGTCTTCAGCAGTTCTTGCAACACAGATAACAAATAATCCTGTGTTTGTCAGGTGGCACTAATCTGTGAAAGATCAAACCATCTCTCTGCAACGTGTGTATCGTGTTTGTCTCCAGACATTTTGCATAGCGGAAGAAAAACAAACAGCAGGGAATGGAAATGGAGCAAGTGTGTAAAGTTCAACATAAAGTGTAAGCACAGAGCAGGTATCGAGGCAACAAATTGGGATTTACGGTCCTTCCACTACCACCAAACACTGGGGGAACAGGCTATTTGTGAGGGGGGAACCCTGACATTACTTGCCTTTGGTTCCCGTTGTTGGGATTATTGTTTTAAGCTGTGCTTAATTGTCATGTCTCCACGGCCACATCAAAAGCCAAGAAGATTAGGTTACAGGGAGTGTTTGATGTCAAAATACAAAATAAATAAAAGGAAAGCTGAAAAGGTACTGTATTTTCCATGATGCCTAGTGAGGTTTTTGCCTCAAACATCTTTTTTTTTTTTTTTTTTTGCAAAGGTTGCACTTTTAGTGATAAGATTTCATTTACTTACTTCCAAATGACTCCACTGCTTTCCTGCAACAGCTCGAAAGGGTTAATATCCCCTCTTTGATGGCAAACATGGTATAATTAACGCAAACTTCTTAAGTATCCTGGTGACCTGTAGATGGCCACATGAGAATTTTGTTATTTACTGACTTGCCAAACGTTTATTGCTTATAGCAGGACAAGTGGGAAGCAGGCATTAATTTTGATGCTGTTATCTGTGATTGTGTGTAAAGTTCATAGCAGAGAGTGCCTATATGTCAACTGCAATTAAACATTTCCCTATTTTTTTAATGAATTTCATGTTGGTGGAGGGGGTTGGACTGACAGCTTTGCAAAGTGAAATCCTGCCCATCCACAGAGCAGGCATGGCACAGCCAGACACAGGACAACTTCCCCTTACCTGCAGGCTGCAAAAGAAAACAGTCTGGCGCCATGGAGCATTTGATCCTCGGCTTCTCCACAGAGACAGTCAAATCAGTACCAACTGTGTCAGGGCACAGAAGGAGATTTTGTGGTGTGACATCTCCCCTTGGAAACCAGCCTGAAAAACACCAAAAATTAAGCCAAAAATGGCTATCAGGTGAATATGTTCATTTATCACCAACCTGGACTGGATTAGAATGTGTGACCTAGAAGTAAAATGCTTTGTTTAGCCCAACTCCCTGGGCCATCTGGTCCTCGCAAGTAAACATTTCTAGGTGAGATTAAGTGACTGTTCTTTAAGCATGGTGATATGAGTGCAAACCAGGCTGCTCTGGATCTAACAGATCAAACCTCAGCATCAGGGCAGCCGGCTGGTGCCGATTCAGAGACACCATTTGCTTGAACAGCTTTGGGTGCAATTCTCCATGGTGTTGGCTTTGCAGTCAATCCTGATTCAGTCTGATGTGTCCCTGTCAGATCCAGAGCTCATCCTAAATCCAGGGCTCGGATTGCCCCAAGGTGCTGCTGGGAAGTCGATGGCGCCATCAGAGGAAACTTACGGGGAGAGACTGCAGTAAGAACTGCCCTGCATTTGCAGTAAGAACTAAGTTGCATTTCTGAGCACCAAAAGCTCGGCTGAGCAAAATGCAATCGCAGGGTAGGAGATAGAGCAGAAAAAACATCCAGCAGGTAGTAACACAATAGAGAACTAACCCCTCCTTCAGGGAAAGGCTTCGACATACCACTGACGGAAGGAACCGCTACTGTTTGGTCTATAAAAACTGAATCAGGGAAGTATAATGTTAACCCAGCCTATGCAGCAATACCAGGGAGAAAACAGCTACCTGCCTGTATCCTGCTCCCGTGCCTCTCTCTATGGTTCTGCACTCTGGGCTGCAGGGAGTTATCTGGAGGAAAGTTGGCTCTGCCTCAGGAGGGTCAAGAGCATGTGTAAATCATTTGGAGTTGGGCCTATCCATGCCAGACCGTGAACGTGGACCCTTGTTTCTTCTAAACACTTCAGTGCTTCACCAAAATTTTCCCCAGTGCTTTTATTTTCCTCTGGAGCTTGATTCTGCTCCTGCCTGCTCTCCATCAGGCAGAGAAGACAAGGCAGATTTCTTTACCTGGAACACAAGAGCATTATGTTGGCTGTTTTGGTTGTGATTTTTTCTCTCTGGTTCTTTCATTCACTCCCACCTGCCCACACTGGCATTCTGGTAGCAGGTTATAGTGCTAGAGTGATTTAAGGGTGTCCCTGTAAATCCCTACTGGATTTTGCTGTAAAATTCAGATTAACTTACCATCTCCTGCTGCATTTCAGCCTGCCCGCTAGTTTTTTTTCTTTTCTTTTTTTGTAGACCCTTGTAAAATTTTGAGTAAAAGCACCCTATTTTGAGAGTTAATCTGTTAGAAGAGAACTAGATGAACAAAAAGGTACAGACCAAAACCATTCAGGTATCCTTTGTGCCCACAGGCGCTCTGGGCTGTGCGCTATTTTTCGCTATCCAAGCATAACTCCCACCAACACAGAGAAGATGTTCTTCACGATGAAGCACATCTCAGGAGACATACCACTGCCTGACTGGTGCCAGGACTCACCCCAATCCCTCACACACTCACTTTCTGATAACAAGCAAAGTCATAGCAATCCATGACTCAGTTTCCCTTTGCAAAACAGGCATAAAGAAGACATGACCTGCCCTATCAGCTATGTACAGGTGCTGACTTGCTCCAGTCTAGCAGACTTCTGGGCAAGTTCTAACAAATGTCGGTGTGTGGTGTGTACTGATAGGCACTGGGAAAGGGCACTGCACTCTCCTCTCTAGGTTAGAGGCTCCTCCCAACCTTCACTGTGGAGCTGTTGCACTGCCGTTAGCCCCTCCGTACAGCTGTCTGTGGCAAAAATGACACATTGGAGAAATTAGTCATTGGAGTGTATCACACGGCTGTTTCCAACTGCTGTACGCACACACACACACAGAGCCCCATGCACACGCACACACACGCACGCACAGCCTCCAGCCCCAGCCCATTGTGAAGCAGCCCTTTCTCCATCTCCCATGCTGTTAGCCCCTGACCTTCCTTTCACATGCTCTAATGGTCACTAGAAAACTGCGAGAGAACACAGTCGCGGTATTAAATAGCCCTAATTTGTCTCCAGGCCTTTCCCCTCCTCCCCCTCACCTCGGTCTCCCGCGACTTAACGTTTAAACCAGCTGAAGTTTACAACAAATCAAAGCCTCCCTATAGGCCCAGATTGTCTAAATACGGAAAACAGGAAGTGAGTAACCTTCAACGGGAAATTGTTCATCCGATGGAGGCCAAGACCCAAGGCCCGGCGCTTTTCAGTCCTGCCCCAGCACCGGCAGACACAGCATGTACTGAACAGACACTCTGCGTTTCACGAGAGGGAGTGGTTTAGGGAAAC